AAAAAATATATATATATATATAGACCTTTTGTTCATATTAACAATTTTATCTGATTCATAGATTATTTTTAGCTATATCATGATTAGTTGTTAATAGATGAAAAGGCTTAACATTACACAGCTATTTACAACCGTTAGTTAGTCACCTGTAAAATAAACACAAATTACACTCTAGGACAAGATCACCAATTGTCTAAAAATCTCATCAACAATTACCTGCTTAGAGCTGAGGTGGAAATTAACCGCATGCTCTGTGCTTTAAACTACGTTTTTGCTGATTCTCGAATGTTCTCTAGTCCCAAAGCACCCGTGCCGAGGGCTTAATCGGTCTCACTGTCAAAAGCGGTCTAAGCTCCTCACAAAATGTTTTGCGACAGCACAGAGACATTGACACTGTGATATCAGCATCACACAGGGGAAGTATACCTTCAGTTTATCCAAACACCTAATTATAAATACCTCCAAGACGCATGGAAATTGAGTCTAGGTTGCATATCGGAGGCCGTGGCAGGTTCCCGATGCAATCCTGTCTGTGAATGATGTTATAAGGTGGTGTAGTAGTCGATGTGTGTGTGTGTGTGCTGCAAGCATACAGAGTGGGCGTTCATTTTCAGAGCTTTTCAATGCGGGAAGCCAGCCAGCCACTCTGGTCCATTCACTAACCCGTCTCTGAGAACCAAACATAGCTCTTCTGTAAATATCACAACATGCTATTTAAAGCAAGTAACACAGAGTGTTATGATGCAAGTGGGTGCAAAAGCATGACCAGTGAGGGGGTTAGAGGAGGAAGACGTGCTGGTGTGACTAATTACGGCAATTTACTGATTAGGGCATTGAATACAGTTCTGCATTGACACTGTAAACACAGCTGTACTGTCCAACCACAAGAACATTGGGGGGTTAAAACAGACGAGAAAACACACACTGGCACAGGCAAACAAAAACACACAGATGTGGATCCTAATCTAAAAGATGATGAATTTATTGCTCTAAATAGCAATTTCTGAATTTAAGCCGTACTATTAATGGGCTTCAAAGTTACTTTGGGCTTTCAAGGCATGGATGTGAGACTGGCATTGCCATGCACATTGGTTTCCCTGCATTTTGAAAAAAATCAACACTTTAAAAAATACTAAACATTCATGTAAAACATAGAATCTCTATTGTAGCTTGCCAGAGACAAAGAAAATATGTTAAGAATTTTAATAATTCCCTTCCATTTTTGATGTGTTATTTCTATCGTGTTAGGGGTTCATTTGAGCATAACAACAAGTGCACAATTCCTGCATGAAAAAAATGTCATGACTACTTATAACTGTGCAAATAACTAGTATTTAACATTAAAAGGTTAATTTTTTGACAGATTTTCTGATGGTGAAACTCAACTAGATAAAGAAATTTTCCTTAGATGATTCTTCCTCTAGAGTCTTAAAATTCTCATATATATCATATTTTAGTGTTTGACAAGTTCCATTAAAGGTTATTTTGCTTTTTACCAGACTCTCTACGGATTTTCAAAGGGTTTTAAAGTGCATGGAAAACAATTGGGGGTCAATGGAGGGGTCAGTCTGACCCCAACACAGAAGTCGTTTGTGGTATAATTCATATCTGTAATAATTTTTAACATACTACTCACACAAACACATAGACCCACATGCTTGATGTTAGACATTGCAGCATTCATTTTTTTCTCACCTGATTGGCTATGTTGATGTCTATTCTATTTTTGATATGGTCCAGAGCCTTCTCCAGATTACCTGAGCGTGCAGCACGGAGGAAACTGGTTGATGTGTCTGCCTGAAATAGACAGAGAGAACAAGAAATGAAAACGAAATCCAAATCTCAATCGAGAAATGGATTGTCTGACTTACAGCTCTAATTAGGAATTCATTCTGTGTTGTGCATGTCCACAGAGAAGATAAGAAGATCTGGTTTCAGCCGGCTCAGGGGCCATATAACAGCAACATATAATCAGTTACTGAATTAGTTTTTCTCTGTGCAAAATCATCTAATTTTCCAAAGTTACGGAGTGTGATGTTATATACAGGGCTGGTTTTGCCCCTAAAGACTTATCAGCACTTGCTTTAAAGCTGAGGTAAATTTAAAAAAATACTTTCTTGTAACCCAGCTAATTTTGAGGAGACAAAGTAAGCCGTTTGTACTGAAGGCTGATTTTCATGACAAGTGTATCAAAAAATTAGAGCATCTCGACCAGCCCAACATAGCAACATTGGCTTAACCAATGCTGTGAGTTTGTGGGCGGAACTATCTGGTACTTGACCAATGGCAGGCAGAGGGCGTGTTTGTGAAAACAGGCATTATTTTTGCAACTCCATCTAATGTTGGTAGTGGCTCAGAAATCACACCGTGGCTTTAAATATCACTAAATAATCAAATAAATTGACAAAATAATGTTTAATAGAAAAATATATAAATATATAATATATATTTATAATTATATATTTATTTAATAATTTATGAAATTTTTAAATATGATTTAGGACATAAAAAGTGATCGAAAATGTGAGTAAAAAATGTATAACGCCCAATTTTTCATGCAAGCAAGCTATGCAAAGCTCAGACCTAATTTCTTAACATACATCTGTATTAATGTTCTCTGTTAGTCTAAGTTCTTTGTTATTTTTCATCTATCATCTGTGCATGTCTCTCTTTCTTTGTCTGTCTGTCTGTCTACAGAGCGTCCCTCTTGATCTCAGCTGTTCTTTTCTCAGTGGAACAGCTAACAACCTCCATACCTACTGTTCCCAACCCTCCCTTTTGTCTTTCTCTCTCCCTCCTGTAGCGTTCATGCTAACGGGTCCAGAACAGAGAGCTTTTCAGATTCCCATCGGTACTGCACTATTTCAAAAACATGACTCTATATCACCCTGTTCATTTTGCGCCTTCGGCTCCCTACCCAGACTTCTTCATTCCTGCTGCTTGGTATTAAAAATCCATGAGTGATATTTTGTGGTTTTCCATGTGATGGCTAATGCAATTTGCTCTGATGTGGTCACAGTTATATTGAGTCATTGAATTGATTTGTCAGATATTCAGCAGTCTAGAAATTTCAGATTGTCTCTGCTCTGTTATTCAGTGGGGATGATTGACAGGCTGGTCTCCCACCCAGTGAAAAATGTGGATGGAATATTGAGTGAGGTGGAATAAGTCATTTTGAACCCTCATTTGCTCAGTCCTCAGGTGACAACATAGCAAAATGCATCCGTCAACATTGCTGTGCAGTAGTAGTTGTGTGTGTGTGTGTGTGTGTGTGCCATCATATCTTTCTGAAAGCAACTGCTGAATCACTTTATTACTTTTTTTAGATTTAATTTTATTTCAATTTGGGACCATAGCTGATTTCCTTCCCACCTATTTTTGAATACACATTCTTTATCAGTTAGTATGCACAATCAGCCTGCTAATTTTGTATGATTCACATATCCATCCATACTGATAATCATCTGGAAGTTTTCTTCTCTTTCACACAAATACAAACACATATATTAGTCATCATCATCATTCGGTTAATTTATTTGAGCTGGAAATTGTCTGTGTGGCCCTTTCTGATTCTGTAGCAATTCCCCGAATGCTTTCTCACAAATTTCAAATGGGTCACTAATACATTCTGTGGTGTCTTATGGTATCGAGTTGACACTCAGAACACACAGTTGTTACTTTTTTGATAGCTCTTGAACAACTTTGACAAGAGTTTTTGGGTCATTATTTTCCTTAAAAATGTATGTGCACCTCAAACATAATTTTGATGGATTGACTTGTCTCTGAGGTACTGAAAAGGACATGCTGGTTGATCTTGTCATGGGCTTGGCACCAAATTGTCTTCAGCATGAAATTGGCACAGCACCCCCGATCATGACACAGCCTTCTTCAAGCTTGACAATGTGAATGTATTTTTAGTACCTGGTGACAAATGGTAAACAAGTTAACAAAGTAATTATTCAGACGATGGCCAGTGTTTATATGCGATATAGTATAACATACTAGAATGTATACATTTTATATATATGTATATATAGTGGAGATCGAAATTAGAGAACAACCTACAATTTCCTAAATTTCAAGGTCACAGCTTAGTCTGAATTTATCCTAACAGGAGTAGAAAAGCAGTTTTTAAAGCATATTTCATAAATTAATTGTATTCTGAAGCACAGTATAAAAAACTTAAATGAGATATTTGAAAAATAACTCTGATCAAAATGAGAGAACACTTACAGTACAGATACCTCCAAGTTATTGGTGTTAATCAAGCACCTTATTTCCTTAATTATATGACAAACCCTATTTAACTGGCAACATTCCTCTAATTTTCACTGAGATTGCAAGATGGCGGGCCACTCTAAGGTGACTGAAACCCTGCGACAGGAGGTTGTCCAGATGAAGGCCAAAGGGATGACCCTTTCAGCCATTGCAAGAGAAGCTGGTCATTCCAAATCTGTGATTTCTCAAATATTGCAGGTTTACAATGACACTAATTCATTCAAGTCCCCCAAAAAGGCTGGTCGTCCACGTAAGACAAATGCATGAGAAGACAGAATAATGCGAAGACTCTCAATGGGTAATCGGTTCAACACTGCAGCTGAAAATGCTCGCCAGTTCAGCGCTGATCAGGGTAAGGATCTGTCTCAGCACGTTTAAGAGAAGTCGGACTGAAAGCGCACTCTGCAGTGACAAAGCCTCTCATTAGCAGAAATAATCAAAAGGCTAGGCTCACCTTTGCTGAGGAGCATGTTGTGTGGACTCTCACTTTTTCATTTTATTGATGAGAGCAAGTTTAATTTATTTGATGGGAAACATTTTGTTTGTTTATCAGAACCTCCTTCAGCAACATGCGGTTCCTTCCCTGCAAGCATCTCCCACTCAGCCTGCAATTTTCATGCAAGACAATGCCCCCGTCACACTGCAAAACGGGTAAACAGTTCCTTGAAGCTAAGAACAAATGGCCCGGCCAGAGTCCTGACCTAACCTGATTGAAAATCTCTGGAAAATCCTTGGCGACAAAGTTATGGCTAAGAAACCCACTACAGTTATCGAACTATGGAAGAGAGTGGAAGTAGAGAGGACCAATATCACACCAACACAGTGTGAGAAACTAGTGATATTAGTTGAAACTAGTGATACTAGTTGAAATGCATGGGTTATTTTGTTAAACATGTAATTGGAACAGTGGAATACCCACTATTCCTTCAAAATTTGAGCTATGAAGATTAACAATATTTCAGAAAAAAATCAAGTATTAATAGATTGTTCTCTAATTTTCGTCTCCACTGTATATATGGACCATTTCAACGCATATTCGGCGGTTTAATGAAGTGACGTCTTTGTTCTTTGGACGTTTCCGGTTAGTGTTTGAGCGCATTCAAAACAATGGCGGCAGGCGCTTGATGCACAGTGGGATTACGATAATTGATTTAATCCTGCTGTTTAAAATGTCAAAATTAAAATTAGATCCTTGTTGCTCGGTGGTTGGGTGCTCCCTCTGGCCTGGAACTAATTTGATTGGGTTATTTGTAATATTTTTACCAAGGTGCTGGTTCACTTTAACGCTGGGTTGAGCCTGTCTCCGGTGAAACTTCTCATCAACACAGCTGCTGAGAATGGTATATATATATATATATATATATATATATATATATACTCTATATACAGTATATATATGTACATGCAATATATAATATAGTAATGTATATATAAAATAAAGGACACCCTATTGAATTCCATGGTTTTCTGTATCAGAATAATAAAAAATCATCTGGTCCTTGGCAGGTCTTAAAATTTGTAAAATAAAACCTCAGATGAACAACATCACATGACATATCACAGCATGTCATTATTTATTTAGCAGACCTAAAGCCAATATGGAAACGTCATGTGTGACAAACTAAGGACCCACTATGATTCAATTGCTTATAGATCAACTTTTAGCAGCAATAACTTGAAGTAATCCTTTTCTGTATGACTTTATCAGTCTCTTACATCGTTCTGGAGGAATTTTGACCCACTTTTCTTCAGTTTATTGAGGCATATATAATTTTTATATATAATTTTTGGGCATTTGTTTATGCACAGCTCTCGCCACAGCATTTCAGTCAGGATGAGGTCTGGACTTTGACTGGGCTATTGCAACAGCTTGATTCATTTCTTTTTCAGCCGTTCTGTTGTAGATTTGCTGGTGTGCTTGGGATCATTGTCCTGATGCATGACCTAATATTGGCCAAGCTTTAGCTGTCGGACGGATCAGCCTCACATTTGACTCTGGAATACTTTGGTATACAGAGGAGTTCATGGTCGACTCAATGACTGTGAGGTGCCCAGGTCCCATGGCTACAAAACAAGTCCAAAATAATCATCACCCCTCCAACAGCTGTTCAAAGGACATTGTTCTAGAAGTCTTGTGGTTTGATCAGATGCAACTTTGCAAACCTAAGCCATGTTCTTTTTAGAGAGAGGAGGCTTTCTTCTGGCAACCATTCCTAACATGCCATATTGTCTGGTCTTTTTCTAATTGCACTGTCACAAACTTTATCATTTACCATGTTAACTGAGGCCTGTAGAGTCTTAGGTGTAGTTACTGGGTTGTCTGCAATTTCTCAGAGTAGTGTATGATCTGACCATGGGGTGAATTTCCTGGGATGTCCACTTCTGGGATGACTGGTGTCTGTCATGAATGTCTTCCACTTGTGAATAATCCTCCTCATTCCTGTGGAATGATGGACTTCAAATCATTTGGAAATGTCTGTATTACCCTTCCCAGATTGATGGCAGCAACAATTGGTTCTCTGAGATCATTGCTGATGACTTTCCTCTTTGGCATTGTGTTAACTTCTGCTTTTATAGAGGTACTCACACTTGCTGATGATTGGTCAATCAGAGGTATTTGATAAGCAGTGCCTGACCATAACTTATCCTCTTAATTCCTATGTTTTTATTGTGTTATCAACACATAATCTATGTTTTTATCTATGTTATGTAAGGGTGTCCTTAGCTTGTCAAACATAGTTTTTCCATTTTTACCTAGTTTTTGCTAAATAAAAAATGACACGTGTGATATGTCATGTGTTGTTGTTCATCTAAGACCTGCTGCAGGACCATCTGCTGTATCAAGTCCTGATAAAGAAAACCATACAATTCAACAGGGTGTCCTTTCTTTTCCACATGACTGTATATACACACTGTATACTGTATATACACACTAATGTTCAGAAGTTTGGGGTTGGTAAGATTTTTTTATGTTTTTGAAAGAAGTCGCTTATGTGCTATGCGCTTATGTCACTTGAGGCTGCATGTATGCATCAAAAATACATTAAAACATTAATATTGTGAAATATTATTACAGTCTGAAATAAATGTTTTCTATTTTAATATATTTTAAAATGTAATTTATT